CCCCCCCCCCCCCCCCACGTTCCTTCTCACTGCCATTGGATGGAGTCAGAGCTCTGTGTGGTTTTAGACTCTCAACCTCGCATTAAGTCTTAGCCTAGTTAGTTAGTTGGTTAATTGCTAGATCGTGTCCCTGGTGAAGCCCTTACCGAGGTTTGAACACTGTCCTTTGTGTGTCTCGGTGAGACTCACCTCAAAGAGCATTGTGCAATCTGTAGAAGTGGACTCGGGTGGCGTGAGACCGTCACATCAAGCAGCACTTCCTCGAACAGGTCATGTAGCCTGTTCTGGTACTGAGGTCCTGCTTGGGCTGAAGATCATCCTTGTGCGTGGAGAGCGCTGCCACCTCTGGTTCCAGGGCAGGCGCCCCTCCAAAGAGGCAGAGGAGCCATTCTCCGTTGTCTGTGCCAACGAAGAGATCTCATAAGACCATCTGGGACAGCTCTAGGTCGAGGGACGACTCCTATGCCTCCACCAGGAAAAGAGTGGTCTGGCCCAGCACCACTTCTGGCATGCGGGATGGCATGGGTACCTCTGACCCTTCTCTGGTACCAAGCGGGAAGAGCAGAAACCCTGTACCATCTGGTCTGGTTCCGGCCTCTGGGGGTCCATTGAGTGCCAGTACCCACGGTGTCCATTTCGTCGGCATACCAGGCAGCCGCAGACCTACTCTGCCTTTTGGTCCAGGACTTTCCCAGGGCTGCATCACCTACATCCCCGCTGATGGAGTGAGCCATTGAATCCTTGTGTATGTCAGCACCACATCCAGATGCTCCCCTTCCCATGATGGCGATAGAGTCAGTGCTGGAACTAGGGATGCTGCCACACCTCTGGCTCGAAGATTTCCATCATATAAAGGGTTTACAGTTTGGTTCACTGGCTCTCAGCGCCTCCATTATAAAAATTGTTCCAGCACCTGAATCAGAATCCGTACGGGGGACCTTGGCACTGGGACCATCTTCGGCCCTGCTACATTCAACGTTGCAGATGGCGGCTCTCACCACCCTCGACGTCAATGCACTTGGATGCTCCGGTACCAGTGTTGGCACCGGGACCAACACTGCCTGCGGCACCAACATGGTCAGCCTTCATCGGGGGCACGAATTCCTGTCTTGTTCTGGATGACAGATGAATCGGACTGCCTGTTGGCTCCCTTGGGCATCACTCCTCCCATGTCTCCGAGATCTTGGGGCTTTTCTGATACTGAGGTATCTTCGTCATCTTCTTGCTCTGCATCACGTGATGAGCTCTGAGGGCCGCCAGTGGACCAATATGACTCCCAGGGTTGGCATATGCCCAGGCTGGGAAGAATTTCCCAGGCCTTGCTCCTACTGGCCACCAATATCATATATCTATATAAAGAACAGTGACCTCCTTGGACTCAGTGGGATGCTCCTCATTTTCAGTGATCCCATTCCTTGTCCTGTTCAAAGCCGAAGTCATCTGCCAGGTCAACAGTAGTGACTGCGGATCAGCCGCAAGCCTAGGCATTGGCAGTCTTCCTCCCAGTAGAACCTCCAGAGTCCTCCCTCCTGGGTATGCCTTCCTGGGAGTAAGAGCAGGTTTGTCACTCAGCCGAGACCCATATCATCATTGCTGGACCATGCTGTGCTGCTTGGTTTTGGAGGACTTTAATGCGCACCGGGACCTTTTATGCTGTGTAGCCTCATCCCTTGATCTCCAGGAGAACTCACACAAACTAGTAGATATTCTACAGCCCAACTTCCCTGTGAGAGTGGCCCTCCCGATTAATGATGCACTCCTCGAGCCAGTGAGACACCTCTGGAGTACACCCGCCTTGGTACCACTGGTGGCTTAGTATATGGAAAAGTGCTATTTTGTTCCCATGCAGGATTTGAGGGGTTCTATTTCCGCCTGACCCTGAATTCCCTGATCGTAATGGCAGTAAATGACAGGGTCTGGCAGGGTAGGTTTAAGTCTACACCCAATGACAGAGACTCTGAGCAGTTGGATCTTCTGGGTAGGAAGATCTTATATAGAGGGATGATGAGGTATAGGATCGCTAATCAACAAGCTTTGCTGTCCAAGACTGATTTCCTCAATTGATCAGCCATGTTTAAATTCAAAGACCAGTTGCCTAATGTCTTGCATGAGGAGGTTCATGCGTTTGTTGTGGAAGGCCGCTTGGTGGCCAAAATGTGAAAGACAGACTGCAAAGACATTATGGACACCTGGGTCATGGCCTCGGCAGTAACTATGAGGTGGGCTTCCTGGTTCCAGAACTCTGGGATTACTTTGGAAGTCCAGCAAACCATCGAGGACTTGCTTTTTGACAGCCGAGTCTTGTTTTGTTCTTGGATAAGACAATGACACTTTGCACTCCTTTAAGGTTTCCAGGGCTACCCTTAGGTCCTTGGGAGTTTACATGCTGTTTGCACAAAGACGCCACTATAGGGTGCAGCAGCAGCAACATTATCGCCTGCAGCAATCTTTTTTGCAACCTTTCCCTCTGAAACAGTGGGACTATCCTAGAAAGAGGGATAGATCCCACAAGAGAAAGCAGTTGGGCTCAGGCTTTGGACAGTCCACATGCCCTCCCTCGTTGCTTGATAAGCACCTGTTTTGACTCCTTAGTCCAGAGCAATGGTCCAGTCATTACTCTGCCCTCTCTTGGGACTCAATTACCTCCGACAGCAGGGTCTTATCTAATCGATCTAAGATACGCAACTTCAGCTACGCTGTTCGCGTAGCTGAAGTCGAAGTATCTTAGTTTGACTTATCTGGCCGTCCTCACAGCGGCAAGTCGACCGCCGCAGCTCCCCCATCAACTCCGCTTACTCCTCCTGCCAAGGTGGAGTACGGGTGTCGATTCAGGGATCAATTTATCGCGTCTAGACGAGATGCGATAAATTGATTCCCGATAGATCGATTACTACCTGCCGATCCGGCGAATAGTGTAGACGTGGCCCTAGACACTGATAGATCGGGCTACACAATCCTGTTCCTTTCCCTGCTCTCTTCTCACCCCCAACCCCATCATCCCTCTTCAGGGACCCCTCTCACAAGACACTGCTCATCACGCTGGTCAGCTCTCTGACATTAGGAGCAGTAGAGGAAGTTCTGCAGGAACACTGGGCCACAGCTTTTTCTCCCGGTATTTCCTGATACTGAAACCGAAGGGCAGGATGAGACTCATTTTCAATCTCTGCGGCCTCAACAAATTCATCAAGTACATGAGATTCCGTATGGCCATTCTATTGACTATCCTCCCAGTGCTGTCTCAAAACAACTGGTATGCTGCTCTATCTTCAGGATGCTTATGTTCCTGTGGCAATTCTGCCGAGCCACAGGAGGCTTCTCTGTTTTGTGGTAGGAGAATGTTACTTTCAGTATATGGTTCTCCCATTCGTTGTCTCTTCTGCCCCTTGAGTCTTCACCAAATGCATGGTGGTGGTCATGGCATATCTCAGGAGAAAGGGAATCTACAACTTCCTGTATCTCTGACTGGTTACTGACAGGTGGCTTCAGAGAGGAGGTTCTAGCCCACATAAACACCACATAGTGTTTGCTCGACCATCTGGGACTCATTTTAAACACCACAAAGTCAACCTTGGCTTCTACTCAAAAAATCAAATTCATTGGGGCCTTGTTAGATTTTTGAGGTCAAAGGCGTTCCTGCCAGCTGACTGCTTCCAGGCATTTCAACGGCTCTGACTCAGTCTGTAATCTCAGTTCTCCATGACAGTCTGCATGTGTCTGAGCCTGTTGGGTCATGTGTCTGCTTGCACGCAAGTGGTCCAGTTTGTCAGGCTGTGCCTTCGCCCTCTTCAGATGTGGCTCAGGACAGTTTACTGCCCTGCTCTGCATACTCTGGATAGGTTGGTTCGCCGTCTTTCAGTAGTCCTAGATTCCTTGTGCTGGTGGGACTCCCTGCACAATGTGTGCCAAGGAGTCTCCTTCGCTCAGCCATTGCCAACCAAGTCAGTGGTTCCCTTCTGGATTGGGGGAGGGAGGGACAGACATCTGGACTCATTGAGGGTGCAGGGTCTGTGGTCAGGACAGGAAGCCTCACTCCATAACAATGTGTTGGAACTTTTGGGCCGTCTACAATACATGTCGTGCCTTCCAGGACACATCAGATACTCTGGTTCACTTACTCGCCAACAATACCATCGTGATGTAATATGTGAACAAACAAGGGGGAAGTGCATTCCATGTTACTCTTCCTCTAGGGATCAACTTGTGACCATTTTGTATTGAAGAAAACATCACTATGGTAGCAGTCCACTTGTTGGGAGTGCAAAATTGTCTCATGGACCACCTCAGCAGGGTTTTTTCCTCTGAGCCATGAGTGGTCTCTGAAGGAGAGTGTCTTCCAGGTTGTCTTTGCAGCATGGGGCATCCCCGCGATCGACCTGTTTGTGAGAAGGGAAAACAGAAAGTTCTACTATTCTACTCTTGACGGGGCCTCAGTACAAGCTCTCTCTCAAATACCTTCCACTGCAGCTGGCAGACAACTCTTCTGTATGTCTTTACACTGATTTTGGTCATTCCTCAGGTCCACCCTCAAGTTTAAGGCGGATTGAGCCAAGCTCATCCTCATTGCTCCAGCACAGCTGAGACAGTGCTGGTTCTCAGATCTCCTTGCTCCGTTAATTCAACTTCCCAAACCCTTTGTCTCCATCCTGACCTTGTCACTCAACCACAGCCAGACCCTGCATCCAGCGATCAGCTCCCTGCATATTATGCCCTGGCTGCAGCATGGCTGAATGAAGAGGAAGAGCAGTGTTCAGAGGCTGTCCAAGAAGCCTACTCAAAAGTAGGAGGAAGTCCTCCACTAGGATGGCCTACTTAGTGAAACGGAAGAGGTTCTTGGTGTGGTCCTTGGCCCATGGGATCCAGCCAACAAGGGCTTCCATCCAGGACATCTTAGAATACCCGTTACATCTTCAGAAATCATCCCATGTGCTCAGTTCACTGAGAGTGCATTTGGCAGCAATATCAGTGTTTCATCCCCCTATTCAAGGGAAGTTTTTTTTTTTTTTTTTTTTAATTGCCATGGTGATGAGATTTCTGAAGGGGTTTCTCCACTTGCATCCTCTGGTCCAAGAGCCAATTCCCTTGTTAGACCTAAACATGGTTCTGTTGGCTCTGATGGGCTCTCCATTTTAGCCTCTTGCATCCTGCCCACTTCCCTTCCTGTCTCAGAAAACTGTGTTCCTGTTAACCTTCACTTCGGCAAGAAGGATATTTAAGTTGCAGACCCTAATGGGTGAGTTGCCTTACACTCAGTTCTCGAAGGGCAAGGTGACGCTGTGACCACACCCAAAGCTTTTTATCCAAGGTGGTCTTTCATCTGACTCAGCCGATTGTATTTACCTGTGTTTTCCCTAAACTGCACTCTTCCCTGGAAGAACAGCGCCTCCATACTCTGGAGGTCAGGTGATGTGTAGCCTTTAATCTAGACAGGACTAAGCCATTTTATGTCATATGCGCACCGCATGAAGGGGCAAGTAGTCTCTCTGCACAGACCATCTCTAGGTGGATAATATCCTGTATCAAGACTGTCTATGAGATGGCATCAGCTATGCCTCGCCAGCAGATCCGGGCTCTCTCCATGAGAGCGCAAGTGACATCAATAGCATTCCTCAGTGACATTTTCTAGACTAGACACTTGCAGGGCAGCCTAGTGGTCACTCATAGGTATGTTTACAGACCATTATGCTATTATCACGTCTTCCAGAGCGGATGCACACCTCAGAAGGGCAGTCCTGTGATCCCTATTTCAGTAGACTTCGAGCCCCGCCTCCAGATTGGGGTACTACTTGTGAGCTGCTTATGTAGATTACAGGTTGGCATCTACTCGAAGAAGAAGAAACGGTTACTTACTGTAACTGTTTTTTCATGATGCAGATGTGTATTCCACGACCTGCCCTCTGTCCAGTCTGCATCAGAGTCTTCTCATGGGCTTTTGGTATGAAGGAACCGAGCGGGGTTGGGGCGGTGCTGCCTCATATAACCAGGTTGGGGCCACAGGCACGAAACTCAAGTGCCACCCCTCTACGGGTACTGCTAGGCAAGAGTGTCTGGCTCCAGCATGCTGGGTGCGCACACCCCTACATGGAATATATGTCTGCATCACATCTCAGAAACAGTTACAGTAAGTAACCTTTTCTTGCTGTGGTATCACAAAGAGGGAGAGGTGGTCTCTGTGGTAGTCAGAAGCCAAACCATTTGTTGGCTCTCTAGGTCAATCTGAAACTTCACAGAGAAATCAACTGGTGCAGCTTTTATATTTATCCCTTTGGGAAATACCACTTGATAAATCAGCAATTGCTTGGTGCAGTAGCAACTTCCAAATGGGTTTCAAGGTGTAGCTTTATGTAAACTGGGTACTATTGATCTAACCACAAGGTGACAAAATCATGGATAGTTGTGGAAAGGTCTTCGTTCGAAAGTAAAGGATACAAGCAAAGATTAAAACACTCCTTGTAATCTCTGCTGCACTAGGAGGTTGTGAAACTGAGTAAGAGGTGGCAGGGCAAACCTTCCAAATAGTGGGGCAAATATATTCCATGCTTTTCTTCCTCTACCCTAACAACATTACCTCAGTGTTACCTAGATTGTCTGATATCTTGCTCTCATCCATGCCCCTTAGACATAGGGTAAATTGTTCAACCATGCCAATGGGTTGAATGAAATATTTCTTCAGCGTACTGAAGACATCCATCACAGTCCCTACATCAGCAATAACTTCTATAATCTCATATACACATTGAATAGTTTGTTTCAACAGTGAATTCCACAGTGGGTAAAATATGGTAACTCTGATAATAAGATTGGCTTTTTCTGGTGGGTGGTAGGAGATGCTGGAGAAGATAATTTCTAAAATATCTTACAGGTATTTTATTGCTTTAATTTCAGACCAGTCCTCCTCCAACTACAACTCAGTCACCAGAAAGCACCATTGATACATCAATGAAGAAAGAGAAGCCAGCCATCCTGGACCTCTATATACCTCCACCACCAGCTGTTCCGTATTCTCCTCGGTATGCAGATACGCATGCACTACTGAACAAAAAGCTCCTTTTTATCAGACTTCTCTGTGCTGGCTTGGCTGCAAAACTCTGCGCAAATTATCTTGAGGAAATTGCAGATCTTGCAGATTTTCTCTGGGCTTAGTAAAGGCATAAGCCACTAAGAGTATAACAGTACTTCTTATTGTTGGAGAAAACAGTTGTGTACAGTTTTAGAAAATCATTGTGTGCTACATAGAGCAGAGTTGCCCAAAAAACATTAACGGATGCTATTATAGCATGTGAAAAACCACTGAGTAGCAAAAATAGCCATACTTAATCCTTTTCATGACATACTTTTTTCCAATGTTCTGTTCTTATCAGCTTCAGTAACTACTTGGAAGAATTTTATGATTGAAAACAACCGGTTTAAATTTGTTAGCCATGAAGAACCCTAAAACTCAGGAGTACTCTAGGCAGAGTGAAAGAGTCAGTTGGCAGGCTGTATTTTTGTCTTTGGGGATCTAAATCCATAATAAAATTCAGACTTAGTCACATATGAGAGAAAGAGAGATCAGGTGGTTGAGATCGTGCTAGATTTAGGCTGTTCCCAAATCATTGGTGATCTGACCTACCTAGTCTCCTGTGGTAATATTCCTGAGAAGCTGCTGGGTGCTCAGCATGAAACATAAACATAAATAAATAAGTATTTAGCAGCCTAACTGAGATGCTCAGGTTTTTAAAACATTGGTCTTCAGTTTTAAAATTTGTCAGACTAGATATGCTTTGACTAGTATTTTTAAACAGTTTTTACTATGAGGCTCTGTAGTGCTTTTAAAGGGGCCAGAATAGCAAATCTAAGCCCAACTGTCTGCACCTTGAATGAGTGTTTGTAGGGATAGTGTTGGAGTTAGGGGATGGGGGTTTATAAAACTTGGACACCCCTCCTGGAGGGGGCAGGGAAAGGCAATAGATAATTGTGTGTTGGTTTTGTTCCCTTAAGGAATTAAACATGGAAAGCTTTTGGCAGCTGGAAGGAGGAGAGAGGGTGCCCACTTCCTTTTATATTTTGTATACCTTTGTCATTTCTCTCCTCCCACTCTTAAGAGTGAAGAGAACCATGGGCATTTGCTTAGCCTGACTCAATTGCCTCTTGCATATGGTGGTGACATAGCTGAGCTCTCTGTAGGCTAGACACTCGCTTCAGTTCTGAGAGACTCTGTCTCTGAATCCCCGTAGATATGACTGTACATGTGGCTCTTGGGCCTCATGGAGGTCTGGATAGGCCTGGAATTATATGAATGAGGGTTGGGGGCCCTAAGGTGCATATGTACTCAGAGCCTGCTGTCAGTTTCATGGCTCAGCTGGTTGGCAGCTCCTTCAGATGGTCATATAATAGTGGGTGTAAAAAGTGGGTCAGATCACAGCTGTGGGGTGGTGGGTTTTTTTATTTTTTTAGAATTAAACAGGTGCTTCTGGTTTTCATGAACATATGGTCACTCTAGGAAGGGAAGTTCATGCAGAAACCACCCTAGAACATGTAAAAATCTAATTGGAATATTTATTTATTTATTTTTTTTATAATTAAAAACCCTAAGAGAATCATACTTTGGTAAGTGGGCAGGGAAGGTGATATATTAGCCAGTGGGAGCATCATTTGTAATGACTGAAATGCCAAACCTCGCAAATTGGGATACACACCCAAAACTGAAAAAAAACTTAACATCATTATTTTAACCTGCACTTTTCCCTTCAAAGAATTTTAATGTGTTCACAAGAGAACCACAGTATCCAAGTACTTCATCTGCTCTGTATGTTTGACCACTAGAGGATGAGGGCCCTGCTGTCTTCATGATAAAATTTCCAGTTCTTGTCCCTAAAGTTTTGTCTGTAGGTGTTTATAAGGAAACCACTACGTTTTACATGTGTTAAACTACTAGCTCATCACTGAATTTTTTTTGGAGGGAGTAACTTTTTCTTTCCTTCTTGATAAATATGTTTAATGAAGTCTTCCCTCTCTAAATATGCTGCATTTTCTGCAAGTTCTCGGCATTTTATTTGCACAGCAGTTAGTTGAAAGAAGCGTGATTATCAGCTAGAACAGGGGTCATCAACCTATGGCACGCGTGCCGATTTTTAATGGCACGCTGCTGCCTGCTGGGGTCCCGCTCAGCCCGCTGCCGAACCCCAGCTGCGGGCTGAGCTGGACCCCGGCAGGCAGCAGCGTGCCATTAAAAATCCTGCCTGACCCAGCCTGCTCTTCTCCGCCCCCTGCCTACCGCTCTCTCTGGCGGGGGCAGGGGGCAGAAGCAAGCTTGGTCCTGCCGGCTGCTGCTGTACGGCAGGCTCCGCCGGCATCCAAGCTTCCTCTTCCGCCAGCGCGCTGTGTCGAGCCCCGCCTCCTCTTCCTCCCTGCCACCTATGGCCCTTGCGAGGGAGGGGAGAAGAGAAGCCCCAGCGCCCTTGCTGCTCAGACGGGTAAAGAGGCGGAGAAGAGGCGGGGGAAGGGGGGTAGGAGCAGGGTGTATCCCTCCAGCCCCCTGCCATGAGCCGCTCAGGGGGCTAGGAGCACCCCCCTGATCCCAGCCCACCCCCCCAGCCCTCTGCCCTGACCCCTGCATCCCAGCTCCTCCATCCCCCCCATGACCCCATCCCTGACTCCTGCATTCCCCACACATACCCAGCCTCCCCACACCCTTTGCCCTGACTCTTGCACCCCCCACATCCCCACCCCCCACCATGAGCACCAGGTTGGCAGCGGGCTGAGCGGGGCCAGCGGCTGGGACCCCAGCTGGCAAGGGACCGGCAGCCAGAATCCCAGACCGGCAGCGGGCTGAGCAGGGCCGGCAGCCAGGACCCTGGCTGGCAGGAGCCAGCGGATGGAACCCCAGACCAGCAGCTCGGCCCGCTGCTGGTCTGGGGTCCCGGCCCCGCTCAGCTCGCTGCCAGCCTAGGTGAACGGAACCCCAGGCTGGCAGTGGGCTGAGCAGGCCGGCGGCTTAAGATCAGCATTTTAATTTAATTTTAAATGAAGCTTCTTAAACATTTTGAAAACCTTGTTTACTTTACATACAACAGTAGTTTACTTATATTATATATAGAGAGAGATCTTCTAAAAAACATTAAAATGTATTACCGGCACGCGAAACCTTAAATTAAAGTGATTAAATGAAGACTTGGCACACCACTTCTGAAAGGTTGCCGACCCCTGAGCTAGAATAATCATTCTGGACTCATGACTGCAGTACTAAAATACCTTTCACGTTGCTAATTGAGGCAAATGTCCTTTCAGGGATGAGAAGGAGAGTCTCGTTTATGGAGGAGGTTATAAACCTAAGCAGCCATTACCTGGCTCCAAGGGTGCAGAGTCTCCTAATTCTTTCCTCGATCAGGAAAGCCGAAGGCGAAGGTTTACCATTGCTGATTCTGATCAGTTGCCTGGGTATTCCATGGAAGCAAATATACTGCCAACAAAGATGAGGGAAAAAACACAGTCTTATGGTGAGTTCATGTCTCTTTTATTGTTGCTATTCAGGATTTAAATGCTTCAGAGAGTGTGGATTTTTTTTATGTGTGAGAGAACTTCTGGCTGAATTTTAAAGATAATCTGAGGAAAACATAAACAACAAAATTCTAAGTTTGAAACCACTTATTCATTTCACTAAAATTAAACTCTGTTGTTCATTACTTTAATGACTGGCATCAAAGCCCCGCTGAATGAGATCAGATTTTGGTTTCCCATTTGTGCATTGGTTGTAATTTTTGGTGGTCATTTTTAGTAGAGTTGGAGATAAGCATTTTGTGTGGCTGTCAGATCTCCTCATAATGCTTCCTTGTTTTTTAAGCAAAGTGTCTTGAAATAATTTGTGTTCCCACAATACTGTTATGAGATAAATAGAGATGAGATAATGTTCTCCTAAACTTAATGTTACATTCCTCTTATAACCTTCTCCATGTTGCCCTTAGGAAAACCACGCCCTCTGTCGATGCCTGCAGATGGGAGCTGGCTGGGAGCTGCAGATCCTTTCTTGAGGCCCCGAGCACCAGGGAGAAAAGGCAAGACTATTAAAACAAACAAAAACGTCCTTCTATTAGGGGATTAATTGGATAGAAAAAATCTTAAATTTAGGAATAAAGGATTATTGTTTGCAGATCAGATGTTCAGCACTGATATCACTGTTTTATGCTTTAATAAGTATTAATAGCACAAGGCAGTGGTTGGACAACTCAGGCTTACTTTGCATTGAGACCAAAACCTTTGTTCTGTCTTGCAGTTGACTTAAGCATTTGAGGTGGGTTGGACTGATTAGGGCAGATCTGTACTTGTGTTTGTTTCTGCTTTCTACTAACAGCTGTTCCATTTCACACGTACCCTTCTCGTCCCTCCCACATCTGTCCTGTGAATGTTGAGGACTAAGCTGTTTCTTGTTGGAGCTTTTCTGTTTGTTCAATCTGAAGTAGGGGCTGGTTTTGAAGCAAGCTAGAAGCAGAGCTTTCCAGGAATTATCCCCACTACAACTGCTGCTAGTGTCCAACACTAGAAGCTTGAAGCTCTTAGAAAGTGGTTGGGATGAGGGGGATGACTTAGCCAAGTGCAGGGAGAGGAAACCAGGCGAAAGGAAAGGGAGAGAAAACCAGGAGTGCTATAGACAATGCTTATCTCACGAGAGACAGTGCACCATTGTCAGACAGGCAAGAAGCACTTCCTCCGGAAATGCCAATTCAAGCCTCAGCAACTGTCAAGGTAAGAAATCCAAAACAAAGTTGGGTCATCAGGACTCTTCTAAAATTTTGGACCGAGGCTTTTTGTTGCTAATGGGACATGGTCCCATTTGAACAATTTTTTTAAAATGAAGCCAGGAGAAAATCCAATTAATTTTTTTTTTAACATGTACTCATGCTGGCAAACTGATTAGCGATTAAGCATTAGGGCTTGACCTGCTTGGCACTTTGGGGTCAATTAGGAGGTGATGGATTCTTAAAGCAGCATGCACAGAATGGCAGAGAAACTTAGTATGATGATGTTGGATACTAGCTGTGTTAATTTAGCATGATTCCTATTGTTTCTCCAAAGTTCAGGTACTATAGTGACGGACGGGGGTTGTATAAGAACCTGTGCAGAATAGGAAAGCAGACAGGATGACTATTGTTACCTGTTCTTGAAGTCAATTACAGAAGTCTATGTGCATTTCCAAGAAAGGTCATTGCAATATAAAGAAGCTCATTTGAGGTTTGCAAAATGCTGAAACTGACTAATTAGCCAGTCCAACAGAATGATCAGCAGGTGGCAGGGCTGCTTTTTGTTTCGATTTTAGGAGATTTTTAAATGTACCTGAACTGTTAGTACAATATAACTGTGCAATCAGAAATAAAGAGCTTAAATTTATATCTTCAAAATATTTGATTTCCAGTGTCCAAACAGAATATTGTGGCTTTAAGAGGGTTATAGCAAGTCAGGAGTAGGTACATGTTCAATTTGTCATTCAACAGTATGAAAACAATGTTATTTCATTCAGCTAACATGCATCATCATGGTACTAACTCATGTGAAATGTTGCTTTACAGCAGGTTTGCCCTGTTTGAGTTTTCCACTTAACCTTCAAACACTGTTCCGTGCTTATCAATTTTATTTTGTTTTGGGTATTGAATAACCTTGCCATCTTGCCAAAAATACCTTATTGGCTAAGTGTGCACAGATAGGGCAGGTGGTTGAATGCCAGCTCTCCTAGGTTCTGCCACTGACTTCATGGTCTAAGCATGGGAAAGTCACTTGAAACCTCTATAGACCTCAATTTACCCATTTGTAAAATGGAAATAATATTTATCCACCTCATAAGCACACTTTGTGCCTTAATTGATGTTTGTATCATGCCTTGAGATCCTCTCAATAGTTATAAAAAAGCAAGATTGTTACTTAATGAATTTTAGAGGCAAAAACGACATGATTTCCACTTTGTTTTACTGCAGGTGAAGATGTCCTCTGCAGGTATTTCAGTAATGAGAGGATACCCCCAATCATTGAAGAAAGTTCCTCCTCGCAGCAACATTTTGCAAGGCCAGTAGCTGACAGGCAGTTAGTGAGGGGCGCAGACTACATCAGAGGTAGCAGGTGCTTTGTGAACACGGATCTTCATAACAGTGCAACTATACCTTTCCAGGAGGAAGGAGCTAAAAAACTCTCTGTTACATCACCCACAAAATCTTCCTCCACAGAGCCCTCGCTACTGGTCAGTTGGATCACAAGACTTAAACTGTTGACTCACTGATTGTTTAATAGAATGTGTTCTCATCTTCTGTTACCAAGTGCCTTTGTTCCTCAGTCAGACTTCTTGCTTTTCAGCTACAGTATTACATAGTGACTGGTGTGTTGATCTATTCCTGGAGAGTTGTACCCATCTCCCCTTTTTTGGCTCTAATATACTGGAACAGAGAGGATTGGATAATGTGAGATGGAAGTGGGATAAAGGTCTAGTTTCTTTTTCCTGCCCCAAAGTTGAGGGAATTCATTCCTCTGGAAACAAGTAAGGCTTCAGTGAATCAGAGGTCATATCTGGTCTGAAATCTGTATGACCTGTGCAGAAGCAATTGATGCATTACAATGAGGTCCAGTGGCACTTCATTTGCTAAAATGCTCTGATGCACAACCTACTGGCTTGCCGAATATGTAGGGCTCAGTGAAAATCCAGAGCTGTTCTGACCACAAAGGCAAGAGGGGAAACATCTATTTTGTATAATAATGTGGTGTTGTGGCAAGTACTGCTGCACCTTTAACTTTGTAAGGAATAAAGGTAGCTTCTTCTCTCTGATAACCAGAGAACTGTGTTAAGAATATATTAAACCTGGTTTATAATCCAGTTATTGAGATCTCAGTACAGGCAAACTAGTGTTCTCTGACTTGCTGCAGTGCTCATCCATAAAGATGTGGATTGCTACAACATGCCAAGAAAGAGCATCTATAGAGGTGGTAAAAGAAATGTATTTTTTTCTTTCATTGTTTAAGAATGATTTGCTGTTAACCAAAGTATCCATATAAAAACAAACCCTGTTGGTTTTATGGAACCTCTACAGTGGTTCAGTTTTTGAACTGATAGATATGTGTTTTCAGAAAGAAAAATATGCTGGGATACGTTACAGTAGTAAGACACCTGGCTATTTTTAAATGTAGCTCCAGTTTTTCACCTTTAAAAGTCTCAAGTAGCAGCTGGTATTGGGGGAGGGGGGAAAAGCTTGTAAAATTATGGTTATTAAAGAATCATTGTTTAAAACTGAATGTACAAGAGGTTGTTAGTATGCAAAAAAGTGTTTAATTTAAGTGTTAAATATAGCTGTATATTTTTTTTACTCTTAACCATATGTAGTTTGTACATTCCTATCTACAGCACTGTGCACTAATTAACCAGTGCCAAAAAACAAATACTGTTATGTTCTCCATTAAATCAACTGCCAAATGCTGCATTGGGTGATCTTGCAGTAATGACAGAGCCTCCTGTGTTCCATCTACATTAAAGAAAGGAAAAACAGTTTAACAGTTTTTAGTGTCTGTCTGTACTATGAATTTTAGCATGTTGGGGTATTGCCCTGACTATGTTATGACATAGCATGGTTTTGCCTATGTAGGTGTGACCAAGCTGATGTTACAAAAATGTTATGGAACTCTGTTATGGCCCTCTAGAGACCAGGTGGTTAAATTCAGCCCTCTGGTAAGTTAGTGCAACTCTGACTTCAATGGTGATTTATACTAGGGTGGAATTTGTCCCTAGAGCTGTAACACCATTCTTTAACACAGTTATAACACAGTTTGGTCCCATCTTCATAAGCATGACCATACCACGTTATAATGGAGAGTAGTGCAGTAGTACCCTCACTTTCAACATGACAGAACTGGTAGTGCAGACAAGGCCAAACTCACTTGTAGTTCCGTTGAGTTCCACCTGTGTGGATGGGGCGGAGCTGAGTGCAGAAACTTCTCTGTATAAATAGATCTAGGCAACCAACACTGTGTGTTAGAAGCCACTTACAACGTAGTCCAGCCCTGTGCACACAGGCTAGGCTGGCTGCTGTTGCGCTATGGTCCAATTCAACAACTGCTGTTAAATTCAGTGTAATTCATAGTAGACAAAGTTCTGCTTGCCTTTGCTATCCTATGTTTGAGAGGCCTAAAGGTGTCTGTAGAAGCACACATTTGTGAACAGGGCTGTACATGTGTTCAGATGGGTGGAATCGGAGATGTGTACTGCTTTTTGTTGTTGCAGGGTTGCCTCCAGAGAACACTTTGTCCCTTCTGGGTCTAGTAATGGTGGCTCACCCAGTCTGATTCTCTGGAAGCGCACTCGGTCTAACAAGAATAATGAGGAAAGCTTGCTCTAATTCTCAATATCTACCCTGCTCTAATTTAGTCAAAGTAGTTTAAAACTTCAGTAGTCATTACACCTTAATCTACACTGGTTTAGTTTACTCTGTTCCAGCGTTTGTACTGATCTGATTGGCCAGTTATCATCCCTATATTTTGAACACTGTTATAACAGTTTGGTCACTTCCACACCCGTCAGACAAACCATATTAGAAATCTAAAAATCTGTTTCCTAGCTATTCCCTCTCCCTCCTCTCTGCCTTTTCTTTAAAATTAGGCTGCAAAGCAAAACTAAACTTTCGATCTTGCCCTTTACTGTGTATAAAACATAGCTTCAGACTTTTTAATAAAAACAAATGATATTGCAAGGCTCTTACTTAGATTCATAGAATATCAGGGTTGGAATGGACCTCAGGAGGTCATCTAGTCCAACCCCCTGCTCAAAGCAGGACCAATTCCCAACTAAATCATCCCAGCCAGGGCTTTGTCAAGTCGGGCCTTAAAAACCTCCAAGGAAGGAGACTTCTTTCTCTTTGTTGGAGGAACCCAAGAGTGATGTCACACACAGCTGTAGCAGCATTGCTCATTTCCCCCAATGAGAGGTGCTGTGACACTGATACTAGGGGACAGATTTTTAAAGCTATTCAGGTGTCTACAGATGCAGCTAGGCACCTAATAGGTTTTTGCAAGTGCTTATGTGCCTAATTCCCATTGATTTCAATTTTAACCTCCCTTTGATTTCAATGGGAGTTTAGTACCTAGGCACTTCAGAAAATCCCACTAGCCCCTATCTGCATATGTTGGCACCTAACTACCTTAAAATATGGCCCTTGGTCTTAAATTTTGAAGAGGCCATTAGATCATCTAATCTGACCTCCATATTATCACAGGCCATTGTGTGTATGTCTACACTACAATTAAAAACCGGTGGCTGGCTTGTGCCAGCTGACTGAAGCTTATGGGTCTCCGGCTAAGGGGCTGTTAATTGCAGCGTAGACGTTTGGGCTTGGGCTGGAGCCTGGGCTCTAGGACCTTGCAAGGTGGGAGGGTCCCAGAGCTTGGGCTGCAGCCTGAGGCCAAATGTCTACACAGCAATTAAACAGCCCCTTAGCCCGAGCCCTGAATCAGTTGGCATGGGCCAGCTGCGAGTGTGTAATTGCAGTGTAGACATACCCTAAACTTCACCCAGATGCCCCTTTGTTGACTCCAGTGACATTAGATCAAAGCATTTCAGTCCTCAGGAGAGGCAGAGGACAAGTGGGACTGAGGTGCCACTAATGGCAGAAGCCTCTGCAACAGCAGAGAAATGAGATTAGGTGGGGTATAACCAGACAATCCTAGCAGAACCCATGCTGCAGAGGAAGGTGAAAAAACCCACCCCAGCGGAACCGCCTGAGAGGATTCTCTGAAATGTCTCTGAGCACTGGTCTTGAACATCATTGAAGGGTGAAGGATACCGGCACATTTATTTTTGCTTTACAGTTCACCTTGGAGAAATCTCTGGCTTCTTTCAAAGTCATGTCATCAATTACTGTGATTTTGGAGGGCAAGTTGATATTTTTTGTACTTTGGCAATTCCTGATTTTTGGCTGGGTTGGAAACTACTGTGAGACGTAGTCTCGCCTTGTATTGCTGCTTCCATTGGAACCCAAAATACTAAGAGAGCCTGATCTCGCAAGATTTCTGGCCTAAAGTACATAACAGGTCCCCACACTCTGGAGGCTTGTCCATCACTAATAATTTAGTTGGCCATTGTAGACACTGTGTGCCCCTCCGCCCAAACCCACCACCAACAAAATTTCAAATGTCAAATAATGTACATAGCACACAACAGATGCAATCAAAACAGCAGTGCAAGGAAGCTCGAAAACATCTAAACCAGAGGTAGTCAATTATTTTTTGGTCAAGGTATAGTCAAGGTTCACACTCCAGAGAAAATAATTTAAAAGACCAACAATAATGATAATAAGTAAATAAAAAGAGTTGAGGGTTTGTTCAAAAGTGTCTGGCAGTCCAGGTTTGGCCCGCGGCTTGCCTTTGATCACCCCTGAGCTAAGCTGTGGCAGAGACTGACACTTTTAATAGCTAAAATCATGGTCCTACTAAAGACTGAATTTATGACTTATTACAACAATCTGTAACCCACTAACCCCCCTTTTTCTGTCCTATGACCACAGGGGTGTTAATGGACCACTTCACCTTGAATGATCCCTTTAAAATGTGCTAACTACTTATGCTGAACTATTTGTTCAACCTTGTATTTAGCGGTGACACTTTTGGTATGGTGTACCCACAGACTTACATCGGTATAACAACATCCCTTAGGGGTGTGAAAAATCCACATCCCTGAGCAACGTAGTTATACTCACCTAACCCCCGGTGTACACAGTGCTATGTCAAAGGGAGGGCTTCTCTCATTGACATATCTACTCCCTCTCTGGAAGGTGGATTAACTAGGCTGACATAAGAGCTCTCTCCTGTTGGCATAGGAACATCTTCATTAAAGCACTACAATGGTGCAGCAGCGCCAATACAGGGTTTTAAGTGTAGACCTGTCCTTAATACCTTTCGCAGACCTGAGGATGAGCTCTGTGTAGCTTGAAAGCTTGTCTCTCACCAACAGAAGTGGTCCAATAAAGATATTTCCTCACCTACCTTGTACCTTTTAATAGCACTGAGGCTGCACAAGGGGGGGAAAGAATGAATGCAATAAAAAAACCCAGTTCTGCAAGAAACTGAGTTGGAGGAAGCTGCCTCTGCCAATTCCACCACAAAGAAAACTGCTTTTCTGAGAGCAAGTCTGCAATACCTTCTTCCTAAACATAACTGCCGTGAAATAATAGATCACCCCATATCAGGTCTGCCAAGGTTAACAAGCACCAACAGGCATACACTGGTAGCAGAGCACGATGGACTGGCTCCAGATGCTGCAAAAGGCACATGCTTATCAACCATGCTTTGTGTTTGAGCAAGCTGCCTGAGCTTGCCCCTCTCATGGGGAATAAGTCTCTTAGCCCCAGGCTTTGCTTACTTTGTTTCAGCGCAGATTGCAAGCTCTTTTTGTAGTATTGCTTTCTTTGTGAAGCTGGCATTTTGAAGGCCTGATAGGTGACTTTATTTAAAAAAAAATTAAAAAAAATACTGGATTGCCAAATGGGGAGGCTACACCACCTTTCTTTCCATGGGAGCATCTGGGGAGTTTTCCTTTGAGGTAGGGCTGGCAGAGGATGCTGGAGAAGGAAAGAGACACGAACATCTTACCAGCCCAGTGGTTTCAGTTTGTAGGCATAAACTGCCCAGCACAGAGGGACCTAAAACGCAGCCCTGCTTTTGGTTTTATCTATCTTAGAGCAGCCTAAACCTACTGCTGTTCTCTGACATCCTTGTGAACAGCCTACACTGACTCTTTGTTTTCATTGCTGGTAAATCCAATTAATAAGGAATGTAGCATATCAAAGAAGCTAGAAATATCACCAAATATAATGGTTGTGTATGTTTATATATTTGATAATGTATGTAAATTAGACAACAGTCAGGTTCCTGGCAGTCTGCCACCCTGGCCCTCTTTAGTGCACCTGGCCTACCCTTTTGCAAGTGTGTGCCCTTCCTGAGGACCCAATCTTAATTTGCTGCACCGGAACATGGTTAACAATTAAAGCAATCATTGAAAGTTTCTGATCCAATGAGAACATTTAAATTATTGGTGTATATCATTAAACTGTTTCTGGGAGCTGGGGTTCTGCGGTGCAGTGTGTTACTGCACAGACTTTTTACCTCCGGAGACCTGGGTTAAGGGTGCAAGTGACTTCTCCTAGAGCTATTTGCCCCTCTACGGCATGGGGAAAAGGCTGAATAGGGAGAGCAAGGGGAACAATGCTTCAAACTGGGTTGGGTTACAGAAGAGGCAACAACCTTCCCATCATGGTGGTGGGCAGGGTGAGGGAGAGGAGGCTAGTAAAACCCTGGAAAGGGGTGTAGCTATTAAAACATCTTCAGTCCAAGAATCTAGAGGAAAATCCCAGGCCCAATCTCTGAATGCCTGTCCTTTTTTTTTTTGTGTCTCTGATTAAGGCTCTTCCATCTCTTGGGCAGCATGGCCAGGTGTTTGCTTCCCACGGTAGCTGTGCTCTTGCTTCCTTGGGGAAGGGCAGGGGAAGCAGCTGGCCAGGAGTTTGTGCAAGGAACATGGCTCCATACCTAGGAAAGCACGCCATGTTGCCCCATGGTCATATCTCAGTTCCGTGAGCCCATGCTCTATGTGGAGAAGCTGCAGTTGGTGCTCTGAGAGCATTCTATTTGTATCCTGGCCCATGATTCATGTGCAAGTGATCTCCCTCACACCAAGGCAGAGAGCATTTAGCCCTTAATATCTTGTTATACCTAAAAAATGGCTATACAGCTGGAACCCTGTACTGAAGGAGGACTGGAATGGCAGAGGGGGTGGTTCGGGCTATAATTGGGAGGGGGGGGCCTTGTCAGAGCTGTGAAGGGGAAATGTACACCCTGGTGGCCTGTATTATTGACACTGGTAGAGCAGTGTACCAGGGGCCTTAGTGTAAATGACAATCAAGCCCTACATCTTTTTCAAGCCAATATCAAGTCTCTCACTTTTCATGAGCATTAAATGAATGTCAAATTGAAAAACCAACTCCTGGGGAAATGCACAGAATAAAAAGAGCAGGAACTTGAAGATAGCATAGTGTATCATCATTGCCCCAAGCAAGGTATATCTGGTAGTTACTTCCCTGTCTGATTTTCCTTTACTGGCAATGGGAAATTAAAGAATAGACAAGATAAAAGTCTTACTTGAACAGCTCTCTACCTCCACCCCAAGCTTTGGTATTAATTAGCTGATGTTTAGCAGATAGCAAGACGATACAGAACAAGTGCAACTACTGGTTTAGCTAGAAGGATTTAAAATAAAGAGAAGAACCTGCAGCAATGAAGGCCAGATTATGGCAGAGTCTGGATTGTTTATTCTGTACCATAACTGCCTTTGTTAAAAGTCTAACCCTTTTTGACATTGTTTGTTTGTAACATGGAAAAGTATTAAAAATGTGACTTAAACAAAACATTCCTGTCCCTTCTTAGTTCTCAGCTGGAGAAAGGAGCCTCACGTCTGGTATGTACATGTGTCTGTGACTAATGTTTTTCTCTTAGCCTCCCATTACCTCTGACACCACCCACCTTATTCAAATAGCTGTTTCTGACTCAGAAAGGGAAACTTCTGAATGTTTTTGTTTCTCATGGGTTTAGTGCCCACATGCTGCAAGCTTAAGTATATTTCCTGACCTAAATTTGTGTCATACGGCCTGGGAGGTGCTGTGCAAATGTTAACGGCCATTGACGGCAACCAGTATTGTGGGTGCTCTGCAGCTTTTGGGAGCCAGACAACACTTGGGAAACATACAAGTTCAAGCTTGCCTGTTAGTACAGACTTGGCTGCCATGGGTTTGACTATTGGTAGGTAGGCTGTGTGTACGCTAGTGAGTAATACCTAGACTAATTTTACTAGAGAATACAGCAACAGTTGACCTTTGTGTATGCAATAATACTAAATTTACAGGAAGCTGGTAGTATTTATTAGCCTGCTGTGGTACAACAATGCAGAATCACTGCATCTGTTTGAAATATCATTCTGGGGGGTGGAACATCACATTTTGATGGAACAACATTAGACAAATCAGTTACCATTCCACAAAAAAGGTTGGTGTACTGAATTTTTAGTTTGTGTGTGTGTGTGTGTGTGTGTGTGTGTGTGTGTTCTATTGTACATTGTAAGTTGCGAGGAGTTGTTTACATACAAAAACGAGGTGGGA